GAAATAGGGCTTAGGAAGAGACATGAAGAAATCACATGTTACATGGAGATTTGTATGATTTATTAAGTTTTATATTTAACCAGATCTTTTCAGTGATTTATCAAAGTAGTTCACAGGTAGTTGAAAGAGTAAGTACAAGTTTTTCTACTGAGGTGGCTTAGTAGTTAAGTCAGATGACAGTTAATGGTGAAATCCAGTGATCCTCTAAATGTCCTTTAGTTATATGAGCTTTGTAAAATCTTAGCTAGTGCCTTATTACTTGATTTGACTTAGAAAGTGGTTAGTCTAGGATTATCAGTTCAGTTGCTCAGTTGTGTCCAACTCTTTGTGATCCCATGGACTACAGCATGCCAGGCTTCCCTGTCCATCACCAACTTCTGGAGCTTGCTCAAACTCATGTCCATCAAGTGGGTGATGCTCTCCAACCATCTGATCCTCTGTCGTCCCCTTCTCCTCCTGCCTTCAATCTTTCCCAGCACCAGGATTATAGATGAATAATCTAGAACATGAGCAATAATCAGTGACATAATTTTAAAAACCTGAGTTAAAAAAAAATCAGAGTATGCAAATCAAAAGGACTCAGTAATTTCCAAGTGAGACTAATGAAGGAAGATCACTATAAAAACTGCAGCATTTTTACTTTACAAAGATAATGAAACTACTGTTAACATCCATGCAGGGGGTGACAGAAAGTATATGAAGAATTAAAAATCAGACTGGCCTTACATTTTATTGTAAGTATAAATATTGGACACAATAAAGCAATAACAAAAGACTATTGAGCAAGACAAAAGTTAAGAATTTTGTACCTGGCTAGGTTTTATGCAAGATATATAAGCTTAGACTTAACGAAGGCTCACTAAATATTCCACCCAATGCCTGCCCTTTTTCAAGATTGTTCCAGCCAGTGAAAGATTGCTGGTGAATATTGAAATAGATTAAATTGAGTGCTATCTGAATAATTGTTTTGCTTCATAAAATAAAATGCATACAAAGTAATTCTTTTAACTAAATGTAAAAATTTTACTTATAATCTCAAATTATATCTATCTGCCACTCCTACTAGAACTTTGGGTGGTAGAGGAAGGCTGAAGGTCTGATGGTGGTCTTCTTCAGAACAGACTTTTAAATTCCTCACTGAAAGGTCATGTATCTCTGAACAGATTGAAATAGAGGTTGGAATTTTTAGTTTGTTCCTTGTACAGCACGAGGGACTAGTTTTCAGATTTAAGACTCCTTTTTCCCACACCTTTTTTATTTCCTCATTCTCTCTCCCACCTCAAAAATCCAGTCTTCTCCCCTGGCATTCCTTTCCAGCTTCTTGATCTGATGTCCTCTGCTTAACTCTCTCACTCATCACTTGTTGGTTCTAATAAATTAGGATGCAAGAGGCTCAAGGTTCCACTGCAACATTATTTTCAGCATAAAGAGGGGAAGAGATGTTTCCCTAGGATGTTAAGGTAGGAGAAGTATATGCTCTAAGACCAGTTGACCGGTGTGTATTTATGAAAACTTAATGTAATAAAGGTGAATTTCACATTAGTGGAGAAAGCTCTGTGGTTCAGTGAGAATGCTGGCAGTTGTTTTTGTTGTTTAGTTGCTAAGTTGTGCCTGACTCTTTTGTGATCCCCATGGACTGTAGCCCACCAGGTTTCTCTGTCCATGCCATTTCCCAGGTAAGAATGCTGGAGTGGGTTGGGATGCTTCCATCTTCCTGACCCAGGGATTGAACCCACGTCTCCTGCATTGCAGATGGTTTCTTTACCACTGAGCCGCCTGGGACACCAGTGCTGGCAGACACATAACTATATCACAGCTCATCATGTTATACACTTCAAATACTTGGTCTTTATTGTCTGGCAGTTGTAGGTAAATAGAACTACACAAATAGTGCTGAAACTATTAGAGAAAAAAATCTTTCCTTTACCAAAGTATACTTCAGAAAATTAATGTAATAAATGAAATTATAAAGCGCTTATAAGAAAATGCTTCTCAAAGTTGTAATGGTATTTGTGTGGGAAGAACTTCCTAACCATGAAACCACAGAAGTAGTGACCAAAAAATGATAGTTTTTTATACACATAAACATACATACATATATCATTATAGATAAACAGGATCACATAATACCAGCCTCTTCTCCATAAACCTTCCTCTACATTAGTAGCCTCTTCCCTGTTCCTGCCTCACCAGATAAGCTATGTCAAAAATCTTGCAGATGTTCTTCCAAAATACATATATTTCTAAAATCATACATATTTATAGGCACATATAAGAGCATATGATATTTTTGGTCGTTGTTTTACATAAAAATAGAATTACATTATTCTTTCTTGCATCTTGCTTTTCTTAATCCTCTGTACTTTAGGAAAATCCCTCCTTTCATCTGGCATAGCTCTTAATTCCTTTATTTTAATGCTTGTGTATCAACCAGTTGTTTGTCTCACAATTCTTCATAATTTATTCAGCCATGCCTAAATGATGGATCACTACAAATTATGCTGTAGTGATAAATTTGAAACTTGGAAGCTGTATTTTCAATTTCTGATCACTACAAATTATGCTGCCTTTACCTTTCTTGTACATATTCAATAGGAATTGGTCCTTTTATTCCTATGGAATAAATGCTTAAGAATAGAATCACTGCTCCTCAAAATGGACTCGTTTTATATATTTCTGTTTTTCATAAATGCTCTCAGCCTGCTTTTCAAAAAAACTGTACCCTTTGCATTTTTACCAGCCATTTTATCTCTGTTCCATTGTTCTTGCCAACAGTGGTATTATAGCTTATTTTACTTTCTGCAATGGTAGTACAGTTCATTTTACTTTTCTTACTTTTTTTTTTTTTTGAACTTTGAGTTTCCTCAGGGTCTCAGAGTTGGCCAGAGATGAATGACAGGGGCCTTTTCCTTTCCCAGGTCTTTCCTGGTCATGCACACTGCCTTAAGTACAGCCTGGAGTGTGTCTAGTTCTTAAGGATTTTTTTAAAAATTCCTGCCCAGCCTCTTATTTGCCTCAACTAAAACCACAGCCTTAAGCAGGAACCTACCATATTGCCAGCATATTGCTGTTACTTCTGTGATGCCTGGAGGTGGGGCTTTTGGTCTCCCTGAGCTGATGTCTGTTGTGTCAAATGAAATTGCCACAACATCTTGGGATTAGAGTTTTTCAGGAAGCTGCAACTGGGGATAATATACTGATTGGGCTCTAGGGAAACTGGTTTTAATGGAACTGCAAATAAACTTCAGTCCTATCTCTTGGCTGATGCTGTGGCCTTTTTATGGCACCATGCCATGAAGCTGAGGAGCATAGGGGATGGAAATAGTGCTTCATCAAAACATCCCAGGCCCGCCCCCCACCCTGGGTCTTAACACGGTTCGGTCATTTCCATTGAGTAGACAGTGTGCTCATTTTGTGACTTCAGTTAGTTGTCAGAGTTCTGAAGTGATTACCCTTAGTTATTTTGCTAGTATTTCAATTTTACTAAGTGAGTGAGTTCACAGAGGTCTCACTTGGTCACTCCAGAAGTCATCTCCTTTTCAGTTTCTTTAGCAGTTCATAGGCATTGAGTCCGTTGTGTGAACTTTAAGGTCATTTTGTCAAAATTCAAGTACAGCTGGTAGAATTCTAATTCCATTAAATATATAACTTAGTTTTGGAAGAAGTGACATTTTAGGATTTTAAGTTTTCTTAAATGGAAGCATGATTAGGACTGATAGACTTGATTATTTAAATGTACACTTCTATGCAATTTTTTTTAAATGTCTTAGAATTCACAAGTAACACTAGGCAAAGTGGTTGCAACATATGGACACAGTATTAATGAACTTTGAATGTTAAATTTATTTTTAAATATAAAGAAGATAACATATAACCATGGGTAAAAGGTATAAGCTATTTTTAAAGAAGAAATACAGATGACTAGAAAGCCAAAGAATTTTCACAGAGATTAAACAATACACTTAGCAAATCAGAAAAAAATAATAGCATTGTTTGGGAAAGGTGGGACAAAGTACTCACACACTTTCTTCATCCTTTCTGGAATACAGTTCTATCTAAATATCTCTTTTCTTGGAATTAATCCTAAAGAAAAATCATTTTATTCACTTAATTAGATTATTATTGAGTGTCCACTCTGTGCCAAACAATGTCACCGTGGATACATAAACAAAAAACACATACACACTTAAAAATCTTTGCTTTCATGGAGTTCACATTCTTGTTGGTGAGGCAAACAGCAAACAAAAGAAAATTAAAAATACATTAGAATGAGCTAGTTCCTGGGAGGAAAAAGCTGGGAAAGAGGATAAGAAGTATTGGGTTAGCAGTGTGTGTTTGGGACCTTCACTAATAACATAATGGTGACACTGTTTAAGAAACAGGAATTAGTGTATCTTATTTTCTTTTAACTTTTTCTGAGTTGTTAATACAGTGAACATGTAAAACTTGATAATAGAAATCAACCTTTTTAAAAATAATCAAAATTCTTTAACAGTATGAGTTTGACACATTTTACAGAGATTGGTTTATTTTAGCAGTCTCTTGGACATTACAATGGATGGATTTTACTTTAAGAGAGTAAATATAATTGACTTTATTAGCAGAGGGATTAATTTTGCAGCCTGTCACTTTGGGTGAAAATATGATTTAGACTTATTTTTCTCAAATAAGCTATATTAAAACTTGAATTCATTTAGAAAATTGAAATCCTGTTTTCCATATCTCTGAAACATTGCAAAGACTGAATTTCTCTTACTAGAATTTTATCACAAATGTTGTTGACAAGTTATTCATTTTATTTACTTTTTAGCACTGGATTTCAAACACTAAATTGATTATTTAAAATATCTTATTTTGTATTAAATACTTCTTTCAAAATCAAAATCACTTTAAAATATTTCATGGTGGATTTCATTATATTTCATTTTATAAACTATCAATGTATAAGAATTTAGAGTAACTTAGAATTTTAGAATTTAATGCAGGAAACTATATTTTAGGAAAACAGTTAAAGGATGGGAAGAAGCCAGAACCGTGCAAACCTATCCTCAAGGTGGAATTCAAAACGACTAGATCTGGGTAAGATTTTATTTCATTGACAATATTCATTGTATACAATTACTGAAATAGCACTGAAGACTGTCATTACTTTTAAAAGCCTGCTTTAGAATGGTCCAGCGAGTTTTCAAATTTTATTCTTGCTTTATTTAACAAAATAACTAAAATTGATAATTTCAGGATAAAATATTTCATGTATTCTCTGTCTTTAGTAGTTTTACAATGTATCTTGGAAAGCTTGAATTACTTTTCTTGTCAAACTTCATATGTTCTGTTAGTCTTCAATAACAGTGTTTATTCACCAGTGAAAATTGTGGAATAAGCAATGAAGAAAAAAAACTTAAAATTTAACCTGTTAATGCAGTGTGTGTTAATTATGTAAGTTATGTGTATTCACAAATTAAATCTTATTTTAAGAATATTTGACAATTTCATATAGTAAGTACAGCTTACTATTAAAGGAAGAGTGTCAGTTGTACTTGAATAGATTAGTTGACACTGTAACTCAGGGATAAGATTTGTATGATTTTTACAATTTTCATATCTTACACATAGTTTTTTGTATATCTGTGTGTGTTCATGCTCAGTCGTGCCTGACTCTTTATGACCCCATAGACTGTAGCCCTACAGACTCCTCTGTCCATGGAATTTTGCAGGATACTGGAGTGGGTTGCCAGGGGATCTTCCTCCAGGGGATCTTCCCAACTCAGGGATCAAACCTGCCAAATGTTATATTTTAAAATATAATAATGAAAACAAATAAGCATTTCTTTGAAGATTCTAACCTCTAAAGGAGACCCTTTATGTTCAAGTTTTCTAGGAAAAGTGTATGGTTTTATAAATTACTAGAACTGTGTAAGAAAGTGAATTTAGGTAGTGTATATAGTGCAGTGGTTCTCAAACTCTGACCCCCTGGAGCAACAGAGGGCAGCAGTCTTGGATGCTAAGTGGCTTCAGTCGTGTCCGACTCTGTGTGACCCCATAGATGGCAGCCCACCAGGCTCCCCCGTCCCTGGGATTCTCCAGGCAAGAACACTGGAGTGGGTTGCCATTTCCTTCTTCAATGCGTGAAAGTGAAAAGTGAAAGTGAAGTCGCTCAGTTGTGTCCGACTCTTTGTGACCCCATGGACTGCAGCCCACCAGGCTCCTCCATCCATGGGATTTTCCAGGCAAGAGTACTGGAGTGAGTTGCCATTGCCTTCTCCAGTCTTGGATGAGAACTCATTAGAAATGTACATTCTCAGAATTCACCCCAGATCTCTGAATCACAAAGTCTGTGTTGTGTGGGTGGAGCCCAGCAGTTGTTGGGGGTAGAACCCGGCAGTTGGTTCTCACTAGACCTGCAGAATGCACACTTAAATTTAGAACCACTGGGACATTTTTTTCATATGCCAGTTTAGAACCACTGGTTATTATAACTGTCTGGCTTTTCTTTTTAATCTGTTCTTTTCTCAGTCTAATTCGAGTCAACCTTTTTTCTCGAGAGTTCAGTTCAGTCACTCAGTCGTGTCTGACTGTTGGCGACCCTATGGACTGCAGCACATGAGGCTTCCCTGTCCATCACCAACTCCCGGAGTTTACTCAGAATCACATCCATCGAGTGGTTCATGCCATCCAACCGTCTCATCCTCTGTTGTCCCCTTCTCCTCCCGCCTTCAATCTTTCCCAGGATCA